TTAAAATTTATTAAAAATGCCAACTCAGCTGCCACGTAAGCAGATAACCTGCTAAAATTGAGGGTAACCTGCTATCAGGTGAAATTGCACATTTTTGGAGTGTTCAGTGGCCTAATTGCACTTTTTTTTTTTCGTTCAGTGGCCTAATTGCATTTTCAAGTTACGTTTAGTGGCCAATTTGAACCTTATTCCGAAAAAAAAATAAAGAATTTAAAAAATATCATCTGACTACAAATATATGAAGACATTTTTCACCAAATTAGACATTTTTTACTTTATTTTTCTTGAATACATAGACACAGGAAAATTCGGAAAATGACTCTCGATTTTCAAACCTACAATAAATTAAGTTGAGTTATCAAACTTTATCTTACTATAAATATAATAGATTTATTATTTATCACTATCATAATACAAATTTAATTTTATTATAATTAATTTCAAATATTTCATATTATTATGTTGTGATTTAATCTAAGTATACTACCAGAATTATGTGGTCTAATGGTACCCGGGTTGGACTTCCATTTGAAAGATTGTGAGTTCAAGTCTCAGTGAAGGTGTTATTAGTTCTCTAAGTATACTGAGTTTTTGGATAATTATTTTTTATTTAATTCAACACTTTTGAACTTGAGCCTATACTTATTAAAATATTAGGTAAGATCTCATTCCTTTTTATTTTAAATTAAAATATCAAAGAATTAAAATAATGGATGCAATTTTATAATATGATGGTATAAGCAATTTGATCTAATCCTCATTATTTGTTGGGATACTTTTAAAATATTTAATATAAAAATTTTGAACTTGAAGATCATATTTTAATTTGGTGAAGTAAAATATTGGATGAAATAATGATTATAACATAATCATTTCTTGTTGAACCCATTAGCTTGTACGACATACGGTGACTGATTTGGGTTTCCTTTTTCTTCCCCACTCCCCTTTAGAGCATCCACACTTGTGCATATTATGGGGAGATTTCAGTTTGCATTCTTTCCTACAAGAGATAATAGCTAATGTGGAGGGGAGATAATTGAAAAATATTTATCCTGCAAATGTTTGCATATTGTCAGAAAAAGAAGAAGAAAGAAAAAAAGAAACATCAGGCTGCTGTGCGCGTTCCACACGGGCGCGTGCGCGTCAGGCGTGCCTGACAATTTTTTTTTATTTTTTTATTTTTTTTATTTTTATTTTTATTTTTTTTTTTGCGTTTGTTTTTTTATTTTGGTTTTTTTTTTTCCTCCCTTCCCCACATTTTCTCTCCTAATCACTCTTACATTATCCCCATATTCTTCCCAACTAATGTAGATGCTCTTATTTTATCTTAGCCATTTCTTGTTAAACTTATTAGTTTGTACGAATACGTGGTGTTTTGATTTTAGTCTGCAAATATGTATGAATGCTCCAAATCTACGTCATAGTGTCTGCCTAAGGGGGAACATACAATTCACTTTCTCTCATTTTCTTACAATTCACTTTCTCTCATTTTCTTACAAATTCACTTTCTCTCATTTTCTTACAATTTCACTTGCTCCAAATCTATGTACTTACAAATTCACATATTCGTACAAACTAATAGGTTTAGGGGAGGGGTCGTCGTCTTGGAGACCGGCGGTGGCGAAATAGATAACTGCATCAAATAGCTTATGTTCTTTGGTTCTTTGGTAATTCCAGTTGGGAAGAACAATAACACCACCCTTCACGGCTAAGCCGCTCTACTGCTTCTTAGGGCAACCCCAATAAGGGATTCATTCCCACATTTTAGCATAGTAAAATCCCCATGAGATGCTTTTCGACAAATGGGATAACAAAATTTGGCCTACATTTTTCTCCTGCAACTCACAAAATTTTGTCAGAAATTTTATAAAAAAAAAAACAATAAATGAAGGGTGAGACGCGCAGGTGCGTCTCACCCTTCTTCCTAGCGGGCGCGTGTGTTACACGCGCCCGCCAGGGCGTTTCAGAGTGGCCGCCAACTGGCGGCCACTCTGAAATTAATTTTTTTTTTTTCGGCCGTTGCCATTGGCAACGGCCATGTTTCCGGCACACCTTATTTTTTGTTGTGCCGTTGCAATTTGCAACGGCACACCTTGTTCTTATTTTATTTTATTTTATTTTATTTTATTTTAATAAGTGTGATTTTATTTGCTATAAATAGTACATTTTTGCGCAAATTTGATTGAGCATATATAGAATAAATAATGGCAATTAATTTAACCGTTTTGTATTTTAATTTTTTATACGTTTGAATTTATTTTTAACCACTTTGTAGTTGTTTAATTTTCATTTTATAACTATCGTATTAATTAATTAGGCTTACTATGTTTATTTTAATTAAAATGGTGGGTCCACAAAAAGTTGTGAAAAAACGTAAACTAATGGGAAGAAGAGATTTTGTGATTGAGTGAGATATTAGATGATGAGGTGGATGTTGGGGCCCACAAAAATGTGGGGGAAAATCCTCAACTATTGAAGATGTCCTTAGAAGAATTAGCAATACGGGCCTGGGCAACGGCTAATACTCTAGGAAGCCTCTTCTTTCGCAGCAAGGAATGATAAAGTTTGGGCCTTTCGGGCAATAATTCACAGGGTTTTCTTGCGAGATCCGGAGATAGGTTTGTTAATGGAGGCGATGAATTTATAAGCATAGTCATGAATTGAACAGTTTCGTGAAAGAAACAAATAAACAATTCCTTATCTCCAGAATTTTGACAAGACAAGAAACTTCATATGAAGTTATGGTTGAGCATTTAAAGATTAAAAGATGCAGGAAATCAAGAAAGAGATTAAAGGGAAGATGAAATGGAAATGGAGCTAAGGAGGAACATACGGTAAATGTAGTCCTTTCAATTCTTTATCATGTTTAAAATCTAGTTGTAAATATAATAAAGTCCTGTTTTTATTATTATTATTTTTTAATAAGGACTAGCCTAACTTGCTACCTCAAATAGTGTAATAGAGCATGTGACAGACCGGCCTACTTACTTGATACCAATGAGAGAGGGAAAGAGACTATCTTCTGAGTAAAAAATTTGAAGACATTTTTCGTCAAAAATAATCTTTTTTGCTTTAAACTAAAATGAATATTTTGTATTAACTTCATTTTGTGACAAATTAAAAAAAAAAATGACTTGAAACTTCCTAATTGGAACAAAAATGTAATGTTGTGTTACAAAATACAATTGTACGTGGTTAATTGATCATGCTTGATTAATACTTCTACTACTAAAAATGATTATTACTACTATCTATAGCTAGTCACCAGTCCCCACAACGTTGCATGAACCGTCCAATTAAGCTAGCTAGTGCATAATTCATCCAATCACAATATATAATTATCACTATATAGCTACAAACAAACACCAAATTAAAGCTAAGAAAATGACACTTGAGTTTATAAAAGTTAGTCCTTTCCCTTGTGTTTAATTTAGTTCTTAGTTTTTTATCGGTGAAATATATATGTCCTTGGTATTGTGAACTCACACGCTAAAACATCTGATGGGTATTGATCTGTCTTGGAGATTGCACAAAACATCTGATGGTCAAAGGAGGAGGGTACAAATTTGTATGGGTCTTTTGAAACCATTTACGGTACACCCGCAAGCAGAGGCGGACCCAGCATGGGGGCAGCTGCTCCCCTCACCCCACCCCACCCCACCCCACCCCATATATAATCCTTGTATGTATATATATGTATATATAGTACAAGGTTTAGTATAAGTAAAATAAAATAAATAAAACTCGACAAAGGGTGAGTAGATCAGGTGGCAAGGCGCGTGTTTTATCTTTCTAAGAGGCTTGGGTTCGAATCCTGCTTGTGTGCTCAATTTTGCAGTAAAATTTTACATGCTCCATGACAATCGGTCACTGAGTAGTTGAAACCATGAAACACTTGGTATTAGAGTAGAGTGCACCATCCACTGCCTATGCTTTTAGTCTTGAATAATTTATCCATTACAGTTAACAAGTGAGCGATTACAATTCCCAAGTTAGTGCAGATAGTTTTGCCTGAAAAAAATTTAAAATCCACTTATTGGCGGAATTATCCTTAAAGTAGTTATTGAATGTTGACTGCTTAGTAGGTGTCAGGTATGCCCCATCTGCTTAGATGATCTATTTTATGAGTAAATTCTGAATTGAAAGAACTAAGCTTGAGCAGCAGTGGCCAGTGAGTGTTTATAAAATTGATGTCTGGTGTATAACCAGGGGTTGGGATGGTTGTTTGTGTCAAAAAAATTGCTGCTATCCTTGGGAAACATTGCGTCTTTACAATGATTACCCTAAACTTTTCTTTTTGGTTTTGTGTTCCAACCGTGGCTTATTTTCTCATGTTATGAGTCCTGTGATTTATTTTCTCATTCTATGATTTGAGGTCTTCACCATCCACTGCTCTTCACAGTTGATTCATTTTAACTGTGCCTTCTAAATTCCTAAGATGAGTTGTGATTATAATTTTGAAGGGTACAATTGTTAGTCATAATCTGAGAGCAGTAGGCTGAAGTTGCTTGCTTGATTATATCTACTACGGAGTATTTAAATGTAGTGCATATTGGATATAAATTTATCATTTTAGATCTCTGCTGCTTTAGGTATTGGGTATTGATCTGTCTTGGAGACTGCACAAAACATCTGATGGTCAAAGGAGGAGGAGTGCCGTGGGAAAGAAGAGTGCCTTGGGAAAAGAAATTGAGAGGGAGACCATTGCCTTCTTTCCAATTAAAAAGACAAAGAAAAGAGTCAATATTGAAATCACATAATAATTGTAAGATAATAAGTGAAAATAATTCTTAAAAAATCAATATGAGTCAACAAATTAAAGTGCAAATTATTGGTATTCCATAATTTTGGTATGCAGATGTCACCCTCTACCTTTAACTTTCCATTCTTAATTGGTTCAATTCCAAAAATAATATGACACCAAAAATATCATGACCTTCCTTTATTAAGTTTAAAAAAAAAAAAAAAAAAAGAGAGAAGAATTCTTCAAAAAATTTCCAATGATTAAACATGATTTGAGTATTAGGCCCAACAGAAACTTTAGGCCCATTACGTATGAAACGGACGCAAAGAAAACGGCAGCCGTCAACCCCGGTGGCGGGACGGTGGCCAAAGAGACTGACATGGCCGGAGTCTGCAAGTACTCGTGCAGAACTTCGAGCGAAACTCTTCAATGGATTCTAGCAATTAATGATTTCATAAAGCCTTATCGATTCTTCCTGGATTCTCATGTCGTCAATTTCTTCAAGGTCTCCTCCTCGCTCTAAAATTTTATAATACAAATTTATTTTTAACATATGTAGATATTTGTGTGTATACTTACGGAATTTAGTGAAAATGTATTTGAAATTACAGGATAGACTATGGGAAGCTGTGGATAAAGAGTGGATGGATTGTTTAAAAGATGAACCTGTGGAAAATCTTATCCAAATTCCTTCCGGCGTGGTACAGGTAGTAATATCTGTATGTCTGTGAATATTCTGATAATATTTTTAGCTGTCGTTTCTGATTTGATGTGATGCTAAGTACAGTGCACATTACCTAAGAATTTTACTCCTTTTTCTGTTATGGAGATCAGCATTTGTTTAGTAACAAGCTTTCTGTCTTCCACCAATTGGGATGCATTAAGAAATTTAGTTGTTAGTTATAGTTCTGGGCATTGATAAAATATTGATCTGATCTTATTATATTAGTGGAAGTAGTGAAGTACCATAGGTTTGTTTGCTTTAGTTGAGAATTACACTTTGGTATAGAAATCAGATTATTAGTTTCTTTCTCTTGCCATCTCTTACAAAACCTGTTTCCTTCAATGATTTCTTTTCCATCTATGATGTCAGTAGGATCACTGGCCTGCTTCACTTAAAGAATTTGTCATTGCTCTGAGATCTCTTTCTCTTCCACGAAAACAGGCAGATTTGCTGGAGGTATTCCATTTTTCATTTTCTACCTTTAATGTGATCTGGTGCCTATAGAATTACATTGCCACATTTATTTCATGGTTAGTATCAGAGTACGTATGATAAACGTGTACCGTTTATTTTTCCTTTCATCATTTTTGTTTTTTCCTTTTCCCTCTTTTTCCTTGTCAGTTTATCCTTCAGACCCCTAGTTTTTGGAAGTTATAAGATAGTGCGTTTTGCTGATCCTTCTGTTTGCACAGGAATTCCCAGGATTGCACATGGCCTCTCTAAGTACTGTTCTTGCTCAAGGCATGAATCGTAAGAAAAAGCACGAAGTAGGGCATGGAATTTCAACTTATTATTCATGTTTGTACTTATGTTATCTACTCATCTGTTTCCTTGTGTCTTGCTTCTTTGCAAAATATATGTTTGGATGTTATTGGAAATTTGTCACTAATGTTGGTATGTTGATATGTGATTCATCTGATTGTAGAATGTGGCACAAAAGTCTGGTCATTTTTTGTTATGAGAAATTTTATGTTTCTATGCTGGGGTTTTAAAAGAAAAAAAAAAAAAAAAACATGTCCCTAATGAGACAGTGGTATCAACTTAGAAATTAGAGAATCACTGACCAATTTTCTCAATTTGGACAGCATGAGTTCTTCTGAAAGGTGTAACTTCAGAAAAATTGCCGAAACATCATTGGGCATAAATGTTTTATTCTGATAAATTACATATTTTCTTAATTGGCAATTAGTGAGCTGTTCTAAATTGTGTTCCTTGTAAAAATTCTGCTATTTGCAATGCTAATGTAGGCGTTACATTGCATAAGTAGGTGGAAGCACTTGCTGCTGTGGTAGGTCAGATTGCCAAAGATGTTGAATCAAAGACAATAGTTGATGTTGGCTCTGGTCAGGTAGTTCTTCTTCTCTGCTTTTATTGCTAATCACAATGTTCCTATTCAAACATTTTTCTCATCAGTTGTCTACCCTAATCTTTTACTTGGTTCAGATGCTCCTCGTGTTAGCGGTGTTAACCGGAAGAGAAACTTGATTTAGATATGGATTTTGAACAAGTGAATTGTGTTCTAGCATCATTAAGATATAGAACAACAATATACTCTAGGTCTCTCTCTTTGTTATCTTTTCTTGGGTCTCATTTACTCCTATCTTCTAGGGTTATCTTGCACAAGTACTTTCATTTGAGTATGGGCTTTCCATTCTTGCAATTGATGCCTCTTCACATCATGGAAACATTACTGATGCACGTGCAGAGAGAATTAGGAAACACTATGCTGCTAAGATCCGCAAGTCTGAGTATAGTGCTTAAATCCTTTAAATTCATCTTCTTTATTTAATTTAAATTGCATTCATATTAGTGCGTATGAATTGCTTTTGGTGCTAATTTTCTTGTAATCTTTACTTTTTATAATGAGCTTAGTTTGTAACTAATTGATGAAATTCTACTCCTGAGCCTATTTTGCCATTTTCATTATTTGTTTTCAGATCAGAAGACAGAGAGTTGTCTGTACCAAAGACAGTCACATGCCGAGTACTTTCCCCTGAGACATTGAAGGCCTTGAGTAATGGCTCACTGGAAAAATATGATGTTGGTAAACAATATCTTATTGGAGAAAGTTCTATTGGACAGGCTCAAGAACACTCTGAGGATAGATTAACTCCTCACTCCTACATGGTTGGTGATTCATCATTAATTCTTGCTGGACTTCATGCCTGTGGTGATCTTTCAGTGACTATGTTGAGGTGATTGGGCCTATTTCCTTATTTTAGTAACTTAGTCTCAGTGGAAGCTAAATATCCATGATAATTGAATGGGGATCCATCTAACAAAGATACTACAAAGGTCACGATAAATTGAATGTAGAAGAAATAAACTTGTATGGTTAGTAAATACTTCAACACTTTTTTCTGGTCAGCTTGCAGTCTATGGCATGAACTTAATCTTAGGGAATTACTCTATGGTTATTGTCGGTATGGAAAGCCTACTTTTTACTTTCTTATATTTGACTCAGTTTGTATTTAAATAGGACATTCTTGGAATGCAATGAAGTAAAAGCAGTGATTAGTGTTGGATGTTGTTATAACTTGCTATCTGAGGAAGCTGCTGGCAAGGATGATTCTCATTGTGGCTTTCCATTGAGTAAAAGTGTTAAAGCTGTTGGCTTAGTGCTTGGTAAAAGTGCCCGTGATCTTGCTTGCCAGGTATGTGCATATTTTGTGTTTTCTGGTTTTCCTGCATTCTATATGAATTCAGAGTTATGATCCACAGCAGTACATGTATGATTGATGAGAATTTATAGAATTGAATTCAATTGAGATATGGTTCCTGTAGGGTGTGATGTAGAATTGAGTATCACTGTATCAGCTGGTTTTTCACCATTCTGCTAGCCTAGCATCATATGGAGGCAAAACGAGAAAGAATGCTTCATTTATTTACCTTTCTTCCTATGCTCATTGTGATATTTGGCTTGTCTTGCTTTATCAGAGTGCAGATAGATGGAGAGGTTTAGGACAAGCTGCTGGCCTTCACAACTTTGAATTGCATGCATTTCGTGCTACCTTTCAGATGGTACTTGCTATTATATTAGTTTGTCTTTGGGTTTGACTCTTTTGTCAATTTTGTAGTGTCAAGGCTCTTGTAGTCTTACTGTATAGTGGTTTCCGTGAGTAGTAACCCCAAACTGGTTACTGGATTTACAGATTCTCTTGCGATACTATTCAGAAGTATTGGTAAAAAGTCCTGCAATAGGGCGCCAAGGGAAAACATTACGCCGCCAACATCATCAAAGGGCCCTGGAGTCTAATTTACAGTGTCAAGACTGCCCTAAAAATTCTAGTGGAGGCTCATCACAGAAAAGAAGTGAGGATGAAACTAGGTGCTCTATGTCTGACCTTGGCTGTGGAAATGATGGGAAGAAGGGTAAATCGATTCAACTATGATATATATTATGAGTTAATATCCAAAATGGTCCTCGACTATAGTGATTTTTTTCAATTTCGTCCTAAACGAATTTGGTGACCCAATGTAGTCCAAGACTTTTGTGTTTTTGCTCAATATAGTCTTCCGTTTGTTATTCCATCCAATTGGTGTTAAATAGAGGGACAATTTGGTAATTGCAATATTTGCTTCTCATTACCCATAGACTTGGGAAATCCCTCTTTCTTTTACGACCAGAGAGAGCTGCAAAATCCCTAATACCATTTTCCCCTTCAGCCATTGAACGAGCCCTACATAGCGGTATTTCGTAGCTTTCTTTGGTTATAAAACAAAGTGGGATTTCTCCTTATGAGAGGCAAATATTGTAATTACCAAATTGTCCCTCTATTTAACCCCCAATTGGATGAAATAACAAACGGAGGACTATATTGAGCAAAAATACAAAAGTCTGGGACTACATTAGGTTACCAAAGTTGTTTAGGACGAAATTGAGAAAAACCAATATAGTTGAGGACCATTTTGGGTGTTTACTGTATATATTATTCATGAGAAGTTAATATATGGTAGCAAATGGTTCTGTTTTTTGTGATTGACATGCCCTCATGTCTTGGAATAATTGATTCCAATCTATGAAGGATTTCATTACAAAAGGGAGTAGGCTATTAACTTGATGTGCTAAGATAGTTATACTGCTTATAATTTTTGTTGTATTGACACGGATGAAAAAGGTTTTCTAACTTAAAAACTTTTTTATTTTATTGAACTTCAACAATTATGCTCCTCTTTATACGTTGTTATGATAATGCGTTGCAGGTGTAACCTGTGATGATGATGCCCTCTTTCATAAAATTTCTTCCACTCGGAGTGTCAAAAATGAAAATACTAATGCTGTGGATAGTTTTTCATTATTCATGAAATTCTGTGACTCTGGGCTTGCCCGCCTTGGTATCAATGAGTCACAGGAAATTGATTATTCTGGCATATGGAAGGAGACACAACCTTTCACCGTAAGTTGTTATTATTCTTTTCTATATATATTTTCTCAAATATTGTCAATGTTGCAGAAGGCGCTAGGCGCTAGTCGGGTGTCCGGGGTCCACCTAGCGCCTAGAGCGCCGCCTAGGCGGCTGAGTATATCGTCTCCACATTTCCTATTCAGGGTTGAGAGTTGTTAGACTGTTATACTCCCCAAACTAGTTAGCTACATATGTAAGATGGTTAGTTGAGTAAATGGTTGGGGGAATATAGAAGAGAAGTAGCCAAGCAGGCAAAAGAAACCCACTCGGCCGAGTTGAGTGCCAACTCGTCTGAGTTGGGCACTGACTCGGTCGAGTTAGGAATTCATCTCGGCCGAGTTAGGTGCCCAACTCGGCGCCTAGTCGGCCAGTTAGTCGGCCGGCCGACTAAAAGCCGCCTAGAGTTGAAATCGCCTCAGCCTAGGGGCGTCAAGCACCTAGTCGGCGCTTAGGCCGATTTTTACAACACTGAATATTGTTAAGAAATGGAATTTAACTCTTCCTGTTCTGTTATCATTAAGCTGAGATTGCAATTTAGTTCATACTCTTCCCAACCCATTGTAATTGGCCACTTGACCGGATACTGCTTAAGAAAAGTCAGCTAAAATGTTCCACTAGCACCCTTCCTTTGGATTGCATTCAGTCTTGATTGATGTAATGTGGGCATTTTTAGAAATTTTCCATTAAATTTACGTAAAAAATTGCTAGTGGTCAAGTTTTTTTGGATCATTACAAAAAGGAATCGTGGCCAATAAAAATGGGATGGAGGAAGGACGCTTTTCTACTTTTTAGTTTTCTAGTTTTAGCATAAAAAGCCCCTTATACCTTAATTTTCCCCCTCCAGTTGGATCTGTAAGATACTCATATGAAACAATTTTGTGCAGGAAATGATAGGGCCATATTGGTCTCTTCGTGCTGCTCTTGGACCGGTTTTGGAAACTATTATTCTACTTGATCGGTTATTATTCCTCCAGGAGAGCAGTGATTGGGTGGAAGCTGCACTGGTTCCAATTTTTGACCCAGTATTGTCACCTAGGAATATGGCTATTATTGGTAGGAAAATTTGAAGTTTACATGAATTGGTGTCTTAGTCGGTTGATGCTAAGCTTGAAAAGTTGGGAATTAGGATTTGGGTTATGCATTATATCAAGTTGTATTAGGATAATATATGTTGAGGGAGGAGTGTACTGATAGGAAAGTTGTTTCTTTTTGTACTGGAGCAAGTTGTCATCATATCACCACTTAGGGAGGGGCGGTGGTTTGATCTGTCACTATGGTGGAAATATCAAAGTGAATTCCATGATATTGTTTCCCGGGCAGACCAAGACTAAATCCTATAGGGAGAGTGACTTCATGAATGTGGATGAGAGTAACAAACTGTTATTTTCTGCAGCCTATATATATATAAATGTGAGTTTGAGGACAGTTGCACTTGTTTAATCCCCAGTGTTCAATATATAATGAGATGAATTGAAGGTAGCTTTGGCAAGTTGCATAGTAATATGATGAAATCTTTGGTGCAGTGGAATTTTCTTAATATTTATCCTTAGCTTTTCATTTATCTTCAGACATTCATTCCATTGGACAAAAGGAATGTCAACTTCTGCAACACTTACCGCCCAAGTTATATATATTTTTCTGATCAAAATAATTAAGCCCTCCCCTTTCAACCGCAGCCCGTTCGAGCTTAGCTCACTGGTTCAGTAGGCAGTATTTAGGTTAAGAGATCAAGGTTCAAAATTCGGCAGCGACAGTGTGCAAATTATGTCCAAAGTGACCAGATCACTTATGTGTCCTGTTTGCTGTGCCACTGAGTTACCGTGATGCTCGGTCGGGTCAGGACGTGAGAGCCTTTAAGATTGGGGATTCAACCTTTGGGAGAAGATATATATTATCTGCCTTAGCTTGGCCTTGCTTCTTCCTCTCAAATATCTGAATGCATATATGCTGTCACTGTTTACATACGTACTTTCTCCATTCCCCATTCCTAATCTTTATACATACTGTTTTACTTGTACCATTTTAACTCACACCGTATTTCTATGATATATATATATAACACCAATTTGCACAAAAAGTCAGAATTGAAATGTTCTTTGATTTATTATATTTTCACAATAATTATTGCTTCTTAGCTTGCATGCCTTAATTGGGTCTACCATACCTGTCATGGCCTGCTTAACATATATTCAAACTATGTAAACTCAGATCACTTGTTTTACCTCAGCTCCAGAAATTTCCATACATCTTTAATTTTGAGGCCTTAGCTTCTATCCTATAATTTCTCTTTATTCTTTTTCTATTGAATCTTGGTCAAAGCTGAATCATTCTGCAGTTTTTAATTTGTCCAGACCAGATCAAACATTCTCCTGTCACACAAATTGCTTGATGGTCCTGGAATATTCTGCAAGTTTGTGTTCTATAGGATCACCTTCACTTTTTTCATATAGCACTAGTATTTTGCCAACGTTGACTCGATGACAACCATTCATTTCATTCAAAATAATTTTAAGTTGGATTACTTTTTTTTTTTTTTAATCCTTGTAATATTTCTTTACTGTAAACTAAAGAATCTGTTACATACCAAAAATCATTAGTTAGGAGCATTACCTATATGTTGATGGATAGATCAAATACAAGTTGTTTAATTGTATTTGGGAATTACAAACTTCAATGAAGAGAAAACTCAAAAGGGTGGTAAGAAAACTCAAAAGGCCCCTCAGTATGCAAAGAAAAACAAGACAAAATCCATTCCTCCACCACTTCGAAACAAAAACAAGAAAGAAAATGCAGCAGTGGATGCGCATAATTTTACACTCGCGCACATTAAGCACACAACTCACGCACCTTAGGCAGTTAGGCACAAGACTCACACACCTTAAGTACAAAATTCACACACATTAACGTTACACACCCACGCACACTAAGTACAAATCTCAGGCACATTAAGCACAATACTCACGCACATTGAGTACAAACCTCACGCACATTAATCAATCGCACAGGAACCTTTCAACTATATATATATATATATATATATATATATATATATATATATATATATATATATATGATTATTTCATTCATTTAAGTAATAAAAATAGATAGAGATCAGATAGAACATAATTAATAGCTAGCTGCATGTGGAAAGTCTTGTGGTAGTGATGGTCATTGTGAGTTTGTTGGAGTGATATGATGCTGCCATTCTCTTATTCTATTAACTGTGCTACCTAACAATCCTAACCCATTATCATATTCCCCTCCCTCTATGAAAATTACATCAATTATATATATATATATATATATATATATATATATATATATATATATATATATATATATATATATATATATATATAGGGCTCATCAAATGAGAACCCTTCTCCTTTACGAACGTGCGTATTATATATTGTGTATCTTGTATTGCTTGATTATATATATGGGCTGGATCGGATCACATGAGAATCACATTTTCCGTTCAAAGGTGCGAATTACTTATTGTTAATCTTGTAATGCCTGATTGTGTAGTTCACACATTTGCATGGAAATAGTGATTCTCATTTCATCTTTTCATATATATATATATATATATATATATATATATATATATATATATATATATATAGACACATCATTATGGAACTATCCCACCACATACAGTTTGAAAGGTTTTGTTGTTTTTTGGCTGCTTGCAATTGGTAGCCACCAATACTACTGTGTGTTTGTGTAAATCATTTTCTTTATGCACTATCTCCTCTCAGAAACTTCTTTGCTTTCTCAAAAAAAAAAAAAAAGCTTATTATATTTCCGCCAATCAGATTAATAGATTCATTCTCGTTCTCTTTGACTGTGTATCATTCCTGTGACTTTAGTTTATTTTATATAATTGTTGTTGGAAAGTAGTGCTATCTTCTTCTTTTCTTTTCTTTTTTTCAATTATCTTTTTTTTTTTTTTATCAAGAACTTTTATTGATTCCTCAAATATGATAATGAGTTTATATTACATAATTTGGACAAATTTAATTGGTTTACGATTTGTTTAAATAAAAACAAACACGATCGGTGAGAACTTTGCTAAATAGATTCTATAATTTGAGGCGTTAAATGTAATTCATATCTTTTATTAATGAATTGGTCTTGTGTGAGATCGTCTCACGTGAGACGTGTATATAAAAAATATTACACGTCTCATATAAGACAATTTTACACAAAATTTAATATTTATTGATGACATTAATATACTAACTTTTTCACAACATAATCTCTTAATTTTCACAAGATAAATTGAGTTAACCCCTTTAAGTGACCGAACACTAATAATTGCACCAAATATATACCAATTATAAGTTAGAAGATATACAATATATAATAGTATCATTTCGTAAATACTCCGTAACTATAAATACCGTATTGATAGCTTTTTGGGTATAACAAGTCAATTTTTTAAAAAGTTATTAAAAATAATGTTTTAATGGCTTTTTATTACTTGAAGATTATTATGTATTAATTATAATTATTATGTAATTAATAGTAAATTACTATTACAAAATATACTTATGTTTTTAAAAGTCTTTTTACATCTAACTTAACAACTAATCTTATTAATATTTCTTTACATAAAATTTATACTATTAGTTAAGTCGCTAACACGATCAATTAATCGTTGAATTATATTGATTTTTAAACAAAATAAAAAAAATACTCGTAATATGGATTAAATATGAAAAATTGGCCAAACACTCTGTGCTATTTTTGTGGTTCTCATTGAGGGAAGCTCATAGGATGAACCCGTTATATGTTGGGGTATTGACTTTTTAAGTTATAACTGATTGAAAAAACATATTGAACATATCAGATATTACACTATAATAGAGTTATACTCAAAAGATATGAAGAATTCAAAGGTGAAATGGTAGGGTAAGATTATGCGTTGGTCAACAGTAAGTATCACATCCAAGTTAAGGTGTGGTGCCAGGTGGCTTGCTTATGTGTGGTTACACGTGTAGATCAGAGGGTTGATTTTGAATGAGGTTATTTTGTAGTTAAGGAAGTTGAACTGGTAGTTCCTCATTATCTGGTAGCTTTTAGTATATCTGATCTAAATTGGAGTGGGTGAGGATGGGGTTGAGAATTGAGATGTTTGTTACTGTTTAGAAGAGGATAACCTCATCCACATGTTGCCATCACACAAAAGGAGCCCATGCAGCTTTCAAACCAAACCCCCCACCCCCCACCCCCCCCCCCAAACTTTCCAAAGTGTCCAGAAACTTTTTTTCTTTCTTTTTGATAACTAAGGTATCTTAGTTTAGGCAAATTATATGTTAGTCGTTCTCCAAAATTCCGTCTCTAGAGTTTCAGAAAGAGATAAAAACTCGATAAAATGTGAACTAGTCTATCCCTAGAACCGATGAAAAAGGTAAAAACTCAATAAATTGTGAGTCTTTACAATTGGGCATAACTCGAAATTAAGAACATCAAACACAATAAAATGGTGGGAATAAATCACATATCATTATTATTAATATGATGTTTATAAATACTTTATATTTTAATAGATTAATTTTAAGTATTCCGAAATTAATTTAAATACGATGATGCACAAATGAAACTTCTTGTCTACATAAACTAGATATATAGTTTATAATCAATTTAAATAATTATTCCCACAAATCAATTAATATATTTACTTTCCCATTGCCCCCTTATAAATCTCTTTCTCCCAAAAGGTTGAATCTCCAATTATAAGGGTCCCCAACACCCCGGTTCAACCGAGTATTTGGGGGATGTAAATCACGGTGACTCAATGGCTCAACATACAGAATCAAATATTGATACGCATAAAAAATCTATCCACTTTAAACATAATCTTCACACTACCACCGCCGAAGTTCAAACCTTACCCCATCTTCCCCTATGTAAAGATGACATAGTTGAAGCTTGAATTGGGTGTAACGGTGTTTGATTGAGATTAGGGTTTTGAAAGTTGGGATTAAGATTGTACATAGAGATTTCGTTTTCAAGATATATAGGTGGATGAAAGTGGCCTAAATCTTATCATGTAATCACGGGAACCTGCATTATATATATATTGACCATTTTGGATATTTCTGGTGGCAAACGCATATACTCCTACTCGATCATTTTTCTCCCTTTTTATTTGTTTTATTATATTGAGTAACGTTATATTTTCATATATATTAAATTTAAACCAGTTCTTAACATTGCCATCCTTATATTATTTATTACATTATTTAGTTAATACTGGGTTCAACCAGTTCGCGAATAACTAATTAAAATAAGTTTATAATGTCACGCCCATAGTTAATATTAAGGTGTGATTTTATTTTCTTAATTTAGTAATTAACTTTTTATTTTTTATATTTTTAAAATGTTGTATAAATGAATATATGAAATGGTTTAGGATAAGGATAACATGTAGATTCATTTTGAATTTTTAGAAGGAAGTCTGATATATATAT